TTTCAACAAACTGGCCGTATCCCACCAAGGCAGGGTGGCCCAAAAAGAAAAATGAAAGTTTTTTCTTTTTAAATTTAGTAATTTGTACAGGAGAAGGGGTTACTAGCCCCTTGCTCCCGGCATTTTAGTCGCCTCTTAAAACACGCATGGCTTACAGAGGAAGAATTCTGTTCCACTTTCCCATGGAGATAAGAGGAAATAAACAAGAACAATAACTAACAAGAAAATAGAAGAAAACCCAGAGGGGTGTGTGTATATACATGCTCGTACATGTATGTGTAGTGTGACCTAAGTGTAAGAAGTAGCAAGATGTACCTGAAATCTTGCACGTTTATGAGACAGAAAAAAGACACCATCAATCCTACCATCATGTATAACAAATACAGGCTTTTGTTTTGCACTCGCTTGGCAGGATGGTAGTACCTCCCTGGGTGGCTGCTGTCTACCAACCTACTACCTACAAAATGTCTATATATAATAAAAAAAAAAAAGTTTCTAAACTGTTTGAAGAATGTCCTGGATGAAGACAGTGGAGGATGAGGGAGGATGGTGTTATGGTGTGTTATGAGCTGGCGGCGTCACCTCACTCTCAGAGAACTTCAAAGTAATTGCGCTCATCTTGGTGAACTCACACAGCTTGGCTTTTAATAGTGGCGCACAGGTATAAAGGACTCTCTTGACCTGATATGCAAGCCATAAAATAATGATGATAGAACCCAATATATGGGTAGATAAGTGGCACACATGGTTAATGGCAGCGGCATTATGTGGGTGGCTGAGCGGGCTGGGTGAGCAGGCGTCCCACGAGCGTGGCACTCCACACCACAAAGTCATGTGAAAGCCTGGGGTGGCTTAGTAAGCCACAAAATGTCACAGGGATGGTATTACTCTGACCAGCATTTTTACTGGTAGTACAAAGTGATATTGGAGGCAATAACTGCAAAGTGGCAGTTTCCTGGCTTACTTCTCACACTCATCTGGGTTGTCTTGCTGGCTTAAGCCCTCAACACTGGCTAGGCTAGAACTGCTTGAATGCTTGTAACTATGCACACAGCAGGGATGAGTGATGAAACCAACTAGTAGACTGGCTTGGCAAACTGGGTGACTTAGGGCTCTCCCCCACAGACTGGCTTACTCGCCTGGCTTAATTTGCAAAACCCAGATCAACTCCTCGAAGGTTAAACACAAATGAACAGATTAAGGCACAAAACTGACCAGGAAGTTGTTGAGGCAGACTGGAGGATGCTGGCTTGGTTGTGGGTAGCTGGCGTCTCTAGGCCTCCATGCGGTCATGCACATAATGTCCGTCTGGCTTGGTAGAAATTAATCTTCGTACATCTGCGTAAATCTCAAATTTATGTGACCACCACTGCACACTTTGCCATGTGGGTACTTAAGGAGATACTGGAGTGAGGAATTCACTCGTTGGATGGTTTGGAGTCATATAATATGAGTATCTTGAGGGGAAAAGCCCAGGCCTGCCTCTAGCATCTGCTGTGCCTAGCGTGGAACTGAGGGAGGCTGTGGCCAACCACTCACATGAGCACGACTCGTGACGTCACAGCTAGCTAGGGAGCCTATTTATAACATAGTTGGGATTATCTAAGCATACTATACAAGTATTCAGTAACACTACTGACAAAACTACCAGTGATATATGCTGTATCTTACATGCACATCATTCATGAAGGGTTTCAGGGAAACCAGACAAATTCTGAAAGCAGAATGTAGTGCCTACAATCTGAAGGAGGAGTTAGGATGTTGCATTTCAGAGGGTCATTTTAACTGATGGCTGCACACTGCTAGCAAGAATGAATGATGGCAATTGTATTAAATTTTTGGAGTCACCCTACCTCAGTGGGAGAGCCAATGTGTTAAAAAGTGCACTTTCAACATTTAAACCAAATATGAGATTATGTACAGTACTACCAACTCTTACACACACTACTAAAACACTAACTAGTAAATAATGCCAGGTCATTTACTTCAAACCACCATCTAACCTAGTTATTGTCAATATTCCCAAAATTGGGTATTTTGCTTGACCTGATATGTGAAGCTCCTTAGAAGAAAGTAGTACAACTTCTCACTTAACAATGGAGTTCCATTCTTAAGACCATGTCGGTAGATGAATTCGTTGCTAGGTGAGGAGTATACTATAATGGTAGTGGGTTTGTGTCAACCATCTCTGATATTGTTTTAATGTCACCTTTGCACCATTTATAACATTTCTGGTATATTTTTCAATGTTTATACTGTAGTGTACTGTATATTGTAATAAACAGAATGGAGGAAATCAGCTCTAATATACATTATTTAGGTATGCAAACTGGTCAGAGAGCCCGTCGTATGTCCGAGTCATCGGTAAACGAGTACATTGCTAAGTGAGGAGAGGCTGTACTCAAAATCTAAAGGAAACATTAAAACAATACAAAACTAAAGCTGAGATAGAAAACAAATGCTATACAATATATTATCCATGGGAGTGCTTCAGTATCAATCACTAGTAAATGAACATTCAAATTTGAACCAAGACAAACTGAAAAAAATGTAAATACAGTGGACCCCCGGTTTACGATCAGCTCCCAATGCGACCAATTATGTAAGTGTATTTATGTAAGTGCGTTTGTATGTGTATGTTTGGGGGTCTGAAATGGACTAATCTAATTCACAATATTCCTTATGGGAACAAATTCGGTCAGTACTGGCACCTGAACATACTTCTGGAATGAAATAATATCGTAAACCGGGGGTTCACTGTACAGTGGACCCACAGATATCGTACTCGGCAGATTTCACAATATTCGGAAATCGTAACATTTTTTCGTCAAAATATTGGCTCGGTGATCGTCACTGAGCTTGGTAATTGTCATTCATCCAGAATGCATCCGTACGGCAACAGCGGCCCGACACTCAGTGTGCCATTGTTTATTAGCCAGTGAGCACGATCCCACACGTTCATACAATACATTTCATATTATTCCATTCTTTTTAGTGGTTGCAACTACTAAATAAGCCACCTTGGGCCCAAAGAAAGTTCCTAGTGCCAGCCAGCCCTTTGGTAAAGGGCTGAGAAAGAAAGGAGAATGTGCCTTCTTCAGTGATTCTGCAATGTGTATGATGCTAAAGCAGCAGGAATTGATAAAGGCTACAGTGCCAGCCAGCAGTAATGTGTAGCATTAACAGTGTAGCAGTAATTTAAAGCGATTAAGCGATAGAAAAAAGGACAGCACAAAACCGACTCCTCCATGTTGTTGGAGGTATATAGGGCTACTGACTAACACCGTCACCTCTGCTGCCGCCATCACCACCACATGTAAGTTTAAATTTTTTCAGTGACCCTTATACAGCCAGAGACACGTCACTTGTCAGTTATGGGAGAACAATGACATTTATCATCAGAGTATAAGATTTATCCTCAATGTATAAAAGTAAACATATAAAAATACCTAATGACTTAGCTTAAAATAATAGCATTACCAATGGGGTTGCATGTGTGATCTGTGATGTGATGTGATTTGACAGCAAGTGAAAAAATGGTAATGTGGCCCGTGTGTGTGAGATTAGTTGTGTGAATTGTGAGTGTTGTGAATGGTTTGTGTGTGTGAGTTTGAGGGTGTAGTGTGTGATAGTTTTGTAATGTGTCGTGTGTGTGGTATAAATGTGTGTCTGTGTATGAATCTTGTATGTGTGTGATGTTGTGTAGTGGGTTTGAAGAGACGAAGATCTGCAATCAATTTGCACAAATTAAATCACTACAGTTGTGACGTTGGAAGTTGAATGCTCATTACTCTAAATTGTTCATGATTGCAGCCATGTATCAACGTAAGTAACATCCTTACAAGATTCATACCTTGTAACTTGTGAGTTCATTACCTTTGCAATTGTGAGTTCATTACCACTTATCAGTACCTATTCATCATCAATAACTTTTGAGCCGTCACTGACCCAATTTTACCTCTGTAAAAAAGTTACAATCCACACCTTTGTAAAGCTTGTAAAAAAGGAAATGCTTTATAGACCTCGAAGTGCATTACCTTTGATAATCATTCATTACCTTTGTAAATTGGAATTCGATTGACCTCAGTCACACTAGCTAGCTAGCATAAACTTTGAGCCAGTTACCTGAACATTATGTAAAAATTTGACTCTTAGCACTACCGCCACAGGTTGGGGTATAGGGTCAAATAAACTACACCTCACTCAATAACCCTAATCCACCACCTTAAGGCTTATCTATATCCCTATATATCAATAACATTGTTCATTAGGTCAATTAGATGAATTTTTTCATCTAGAGTATAAATAGTTCTAGTAATGTTTATTTATGTCATATTTGAAGTGTATAGAATCATGATGATTTCAGTCATATTACAGTTATCCTTGTCCCGCCCCAACACCTACTGCCAGACAACAGACCTTCGAATCCGAACACTTTTAGTGAACATTGAGTGACAGGGTCCAGTGACTCTCAAGCTGGTCCTAGTGGCATTAAAAAACAAAGAAGGGAAGTAACCCCAGAAAAGGACTTGGTACCTGAAGTCTTTATGGAAGGGGATTCCCCTTCCAAACAGTAATTTCTCCATCCTCTCCCCTCCTCTCATGTTCAATACACTAAGAAGAGTCTTCAATAAAAGAGAAGTATCATGTTGTTATTGTTTTATTCTTCATGTCTCACTGTTTTCTGTGTAGGTAAATGTATATTTCATGTAAGAAAAATCTTTTTCTTTTAATACTTTTGGGTATCTGGAACGGATTAACTTGATTTACATTATTTCTCATGGGGAAAATGAATTCGGAAATCATCAAATTTGGCTATAGCCACACTCTCTGGAACGGATTAATTACGATAACCAAGGGTCCACTGTAAATAAAACATTTCAGACAAAATTAAAATAATATATAACAGCACTCTACCAGCAAATAAACATTCTAGGTTATTTTTATTCAATAAGATGTTGGAACATTCATATGGCCATATTAGCTCAAGCATAACTAACCATGGTATATTTCTGTCTGTGTCCCTGCGAGAGACATCTTGCTGGCTTTCTCAAACTTCCTAGGTGGGGCTGTCCACTTTATGGTGGTTAGAAGTGTTGCTTTATCCACATCAGGTGAGGTAATTCCATTAGGAGTGAATTCAGTTGCAACAGTTTCAGGCACTGGTAAGGAATCTTTGTATTAGATGCTGTTTTAATAAGCCTTTTATTGGTAGACTTCATAAATGATAAAATAACTTACCTTCAGTTTGTTCCTTAGATATATTATATAATCTTTCATTCTTTTCAGCAGTAACAGTAGGCTGTGATGAGGTGGAGGGGTTGGTCTTCTCTGTGAAAAAAAGCTCTGAGGCAGAAGAGAGGGACATCTCTATAAGGGTAGTAGACACTGAAGTACCCTGTGTCACTGAGGTGGAGGGGTCTGTTTTTTCTATGGTGGAGATTACCATCTCTGTGAGGGCAACAGGTTCTGAAGTGGTCTGTGCTTGTGAAGAGGTGGTATTAGCCTCTTTAGTGGAAGAACTTGACATCTGTCTGAGGGTAACAGGCTCCAATGTAGTCATCATTGTTGAGGAGGTTGAAAAGTTTGCTTTCTTTGTGGTGACAACAGATTCTAAGGGCAATACAGTTATTTCTAAAGAGCTAAGAGACTTTGAGGTGGCCACTGCTGGTGGTGGTGATGATGGAGTAGTTAATTCAACTGTATCCTCAGCACTACCCAATCCTAGTGTGGAGTATGATGCTACTCTTGCTTTATCAATTTCTGCAAGTGTATTAATAAATTTCAGATTAAGCTGAAGTATTTTATGTCATTAGGTACAACAGAGATGGACAAACAAGCATAAAGTGAAAAAAAAAAGTAAGTACTAATGACAAAACCTGGCATAAACAGGCAGTCTCATTCAAATGACTTCATAAGAACATAAGAAAGAAGGAACACTGCAGCAGGTCTACTGACCCATGCAAAGCAGGTCCATGTCCCCCCACAGAGGGGGACATGAACTGGTTTACGTACACCGTTTACCAAACGTTTTTTCAGATACACAGTATATTCAAGAAGCAACTAGTGAGGAGGCAACAGTAACAATATTAGATCTCCAGTATGAATCACTATTTCATATGGTAATAGAACTGTGATTAATGTATTAAGAGTAGATATACTGCATTACAAAGTTCTTTTCAGACATTCTGAAAAGGTGTAATACTTTTTAAATAAGTTTAGAGTGATATATAAAGGGAAATTAAAAGTGAATAAAGGACAGAGCAAAGCTGATGTTGATGGACAACCAGTGTTCATCATCCTCGACTGACATTTGTTTCTGCTGTGAATAAAACATTGAAAACACTTGTGTCTGACCCACTGCTTTGTTGCCAAATGCTTGCTGAAGCATCTTGAGTTTCACTAGCTATTTTGCTGAGCTTTAAATAAAATTTCTCCACACAAAAAAACTCACACATACACACTAATTCTTCTCTCTCTCATTCTCACACTAACTCTCTCACAAACTCACTCACTATTCCTCTCCCTCTCCTCTCCTCTCCTCTCCTTTCCTTTCCTCTCCTTTCCTCTCCTCTCCTCTCCCTCTCCCTCAGTCTCGCACTCTCGCTCAGTCTGTTAATTCAAAGATTCTAAACTGTTACACAAAAAAATCACAACACACTGATATGTCAAAAGATGCCCATTTAACCTCAAAGAAATAACCAACCGCACTGAAACTTGCCCTGCTACTTCATAAATGAGTGTACTGTGCAATGTAATCTACTCTGCCACCTTATTTCATCCAGGAATAACGCAAAAATTTGAGATGTAATTTTCGGTGGTTTCAGGACCAGACATAGCTTGAAACTGGGCTCAAGTAGTGGAAATATTAGATTTATTATTATTTTCCTGAGGACAGTCAATGATCTCTCCCCTCCCTGATTTGTTTCTGGGTTTTTACTAGGTCTGCTGTAATTAATGGGTTGACCTAAACCATGACCAATAATTTCTGGTTATCTTTTATTATCTGAGTAATAGGGTAAAATTTGTTTTTTTGAGTGTTGATAAATTTAAAATGAAGGGCACATGTGATAAAGAAGAGGCCTGAGGGTGTGGTTAATGAACAGAGGAAATATTGCTTTAGTAGATGGAATGCCTAAAACAGCCTCTCCTCACTTAACGACCGAGTTCTGTTCCTAATATTGCGCTGGTAAACAAATTCGTCGCTAAACAAGGAGCATATACTACAATGGTAGTGGATTTATGTCAACCATCATTGATATTGCTTTAATGTCACCCTTCCACCATTTATTTCAGCGAAACAAAGCTGAAGGGGGTAGGAGAGTTTCAGTGGGGGGAAATAAATGGGATTAAATCTGGAGTATCTGAGAGAGTTAGAGCAAAGGAAGGGGTAGCAGTAATGTTAAATGATCAGTTATGGAAGGAGAAAAGAGAATATGAATGTGTAAATTCAAGAATTATGTGGATTAAAGTAAAGGTTGGATGCGAGAAGTGGGTCATAATAAGCGTGTATGCACCTGGAGAAGAGAGGAATGCAGAGGAGAGAGAGAGATTTTGGGAGATGTTAAGTGAATGTATAGGAGCCTTTGAACCAAGTGAGAGAGTAATTGTGGTAGGGGACTTGAATGCTAAAGTAGGAGAAACTTTTAGAGAGGGTGTGGTAGGTAAGTTTGGGGTGCCAGGTGTAAATGATAATGGGAGCCCTTTGATTGAACTTTGTATAGAAAGGGGTTTAGTTATAGGTAATACATATTTTAAGAAAAAGAGGATAAATAAGTATACACGATATGATGTAGGGCGAAAGGACAGTAGTTTGTTGGATTATGTATTGGTAGATAAAAGACTGTTGAGTAGACTTCAGGATGTACATGTTTATAGAGGGGCCACAGATATATCAGATCACTTTCTAGTTGTAGCTATACTGAGAGTAAAAGGTAGATGGGATACAAGGAGATAGAAGCATCAGGGAAGAGAGAGGTGAAGGTTTATAAACTAAAAGAGGAGGCAGTTAGGGTAAGATATAAACAGCTATTGGAGGATAGATGGGCTAATGAGAGCATAGGCAATGGGGTCGAAGAGGTATGGGGTAGGTTTAAAAATGTAGTGTTAGAGTGTTCAGCAGAAGTTTGTGGTTACAGGAAAGTGGGTGCAGGAGGGAAGAGGAGCGATTGGTGGAATGATGATGTAAAGAGAGTAGTAAGGGAGAAAAAAGTTAGCATATGAGAAGTTTTTACAAAGTAGAAGTGATGCAAGGAGGAAGAGTATATGGAGAAAAAGAGAGAAGTTAAGAGAGTGGTGAAGCAATGTAAAAAGAGAGCAAATGAGAGAGTGGGTGAGATGTTATCAACAAATTTTGTTGAAAATAAGAAAAAGTTTTGGAGTGAGATTAACAAGTTAAGAAAGCCTAGAGAACAAATGGATTTGTCAGTTAAAAATAGGAGAGGAGAGTTATTAAATGGAGAGTTAGAGGTATTGGGAAGATGGAAGGAATATTTTGAGGAATTGTTAAATGTTGATGAAGATAGGGAAGCTGTGATTTCGTGTATAGGGCAAGGAGGAATAACATCTTGTAGGAGTGAGGAAGAGCCAGTTGTGAGTGTGGGGGAAGTTCGTGAGGCAGTAGGTAAAATGAAAGGGGGTAAGGCAGCCGGGATTGATGGGATAAAGATAGAAATGTTAAAAGCAGGTGGGGATATAGTTTTGGAGTGGTTGGTGCAATTATTTAATAAATGTATGGAAGAGGGTAAGGTACCTAGGGATTGGCAGAGAGCATGCATAGTTCCTTTGTATAAAGGCAAAGGGGATAAAAGAGAGTGCAAAAATTATAGGGGGATAAGTCTGTTGAGTGTACCTGGTAAAGTGTATGGTAGAGTTATAATTGAAAGAATTAAGAGTAAGACGGAGAATAGGATAGCAGATGAACAAGGAGGCTTTAGGAAAGGTAGGGGGTGTGTGGACCAGGTGTTTACAGTGAAACATATAAGTGAACAGTATTTAGATAAGGCTAAAGAGGTCTTTGTGGCATTTATGGATTTGGAAAAGGCGTATGACAGGGTGGATAGGGGGGCAATGTGGCAGATGTTGCAAGTGTATGGTGTAGGAGGTAGGTTACTGAAAGCAGTGAAGAGTTTTTACGAGGATAGTGAGGCTCAAGTTAGAGTATGTAGGAAAGAGGGAAATTTTTTCCCAGTAAAAGTAGGCCTTAGACAAGGATGTGTGATGTCACCGTGGTTGTTTAATATATTTATAGATGGGGTTGTAAGAGAAGTAAATGCGAGGGTTTTGGCAAGAGGCGTGGAGTTAAAAGATAAAGAATCACACACAAAGTGGGAGTTGTCACAGCTGCTCTTTGCTGATGACACTGTGCTCTTGGGAGATTCTGAAGAGAAGTTGCAGAGATTGGTGGATGAATTTGGTAGGGTGTGCAAAAGAAGAAAATTAAAGGTGAATACAGGAAAGAGTAAGGTTATGAGGATAACAAAAAGATTAGGTGATGAAAGATTGAATATCAGATTGGAGGGAGAGAGTATGGAGGAGGTGAACGTATTCAGATATTTGGGAGTGGACGTGTCAGCGGATGGGTCTATGAAAGATGAGGTGAATCATAGAATTGATGAGGGAAAAAGAGTGAGTGGTGCACTTAGGAGTCTGTGGAAACAAAGAACTTTGTCCTTGGAGGCAAAGAGGGGAATGTATGAGAGTATAGTTTTACCAACGCTCTTATATGGGTGTGAAGCGTGGGTGATGAATGTTGCAGCGAGGAGAAGGCTGGAGGCAGTGGAGATGTCATGTCTGAGGGCAATGTGTGGTGTGAATATAATGCAGAGAATTCGTAGTTTGGAAGTTAGGAGGAGGTGCGGGATTACCAAAACTGTTGTCCAGAGGGCTGAGGAAGGGTTGTTGAGGTGGTTCGGACATGTAGAGAGAATGGAGCGAAACAGAATGACTTCAAGAGTGTATCAGTCTGTAGTGGAAGGAAGGCGGGGTAGGGGTCGGCCTAGGAAGGGTTGGAGGGAGGGGTAAAGGAGGTTTTGTGTGCGAGGGGCTTGGACTTCCAGCAGGCATGCGTGAGCGTGTTTGATAGGAGTGAATGGAGACAAATGGTTTTTAATACTTGACGTGCTGTTGGAGTGTGAGCAAAGTAACATTTATGAAGGGATTCAGGGAAACCGGCAGGCCGGACTTGAGTCCTGGAGATGGGAAGTACAGTGCCTGCACTCTGAAGGAGGGGTGTTAATGTTGCAGTTTAAAAACTGTAGTGTAAAGCACCCTTCTGGCAAGACAGTGATGGAGTGAATGATGGTGAAAGTTTTTCTTTTTCGGGCCACCCTGCCTTGGTGGGAATCGGCCGGTGTGATAATAAAAAAAAAAAAAAAAAAAAAAAAAATTTAGTACAGTTAAACCTTCACTTGCGAGTGCATCCACATGCGAGTTTTTCCAAATACGAGCAGTTGCTTGGTTGATTTTTTGCTCCCATACGAGAGTGAAATTTCCACAAACAAGCGGACCTCAAGGGAAGTTCCTTGACGGTGGCGAGGGGCTCTTGCTCTTGATCTAGGGAATTGGATCTCAGTTGTTTGTTGGACTATCTTATTGAAACTTGGGCAGTGTATGATGGAAAGATGCTTCTCAAAGTACACTAAAAATGAAAGAAATCACACCATAAATAATGGAGTTAACTTCTCAGCCATTAGCCGCCCCTTAGAGGTATTTTTGTATGGTTTTTATTGTTGTATTCTCGTTTTTTTGGTTTCATTTGATAG